AGACGTTAACGTACCGTTCTTCTTTTGGCGCAGGAAGTTATGGACTGGTTGCAGGATGCACGAATTCTCGGTCTGAAACATAGAAGAGGATGTTGGTTGAGTTCAAGTGGATTGAAATTTTACGGTGTGTTTAGTGGACTGCGCATGATTATGCAAATTCACGGGTTTAGATAGTAATTTGTGAAAATGGTAGTTGAGATGGAGTTAAGAGACAAATGATAGTTATACAGTAAACCCTCGATCAGTGTTCGAAGGCTTCTCGGCAGTAGCAAGGGGAAGTACACAGGTGTAATGCTGATTTTTTAATGAGATTTGGCACATTGATAGAACTTGGAATTCTGAAGCCAGTGATATTTGTTTCAGCCGCGTATAGCCAATAGTTTATAAAATATATAATGTTCAATGCCATGGAGCATTCGAACACTCATCGGGGATTTAGTGTATTCTGTACTAGATGTTTTAATAGTGTTTGTGATGACTAAGTTACAGATGTTTATGCAAATATAAATTTTCATTTGTTAACTGACAGTGGAATTCATCAGAAATTTATTTACCTTATTATGGGTTATCTCGAATTCTAAATAAAACGAATACTTCTTACACTTACAAAGGGTGCGTCCGAATGTTATGTTCAAGCGGGCATGAAATGATTCTACATGAAAAAATGAGAAGAAAATATGGAATAACATTTCTTTGTTAGATTTCGTTTTCGAGAAAATCGACTTTGAACATTAATCTGAAACGTGTGTATTCGTTATGATAGTGAGTAGAAACGGAATGCAATGAACAGACGCGATAGCCAAGTCCTATTCAATTGCAGGCGTATCCAGCAGATATTGAAATTTAATTTTCTCGAAAACGAAGCCTCGAATGAAAAAGTTTTCGTTGTGACTTGAATGCATTTGTAGCAGAAATACGTTTCTATATTTATTAAATTTCTAATTTTAATAGTTTACATCGAGTATATAAACTTCAGAAGAAATATATGATTTTTGTCAACATATAATTTCAACGCCTAAATTGACAAATATCATAAATCCAAAATGAACAAATATGGGTTTCTTGTAAAATTATGGTAATTTTTTACCGACAAGTACAATAAGACATATTTGAATAGGTAAAATGTTTTAAATAAGTCGATAAAATGAAATTTGTTTCGTTGATCAACTACGTAAACTATAGGAAGTATTTCCGAATTAGTTATATAATCTGAAAGAAGATAACTGTGCAGGATAATACAAATCGAAAATGTAAAATGAAGTTATTTCATATGAAGCTTCGTTTTTCAGTAAATTAATATTGAAACTTTAACGCGTACCACGTCCATTCAGTTTATGTGTCTGACCATTACTCGGTATTTCCACTTAGCTTCGTTTACAAATATCAACGATGTGGTTATGTTTGTTTTCCACAATAATTTATTATAAATTGTATTTCAGTAACAACTGAGTTCAATGGTGCACTGACAATAACAGAAGTATACAACAATAACAGTACGCAGTAATATTCAAATACGCGCGTATTCAATAAATTTTCAACTAAATTTCAGATTAAATTTATTCAAAAACAAAATTATATTTGAAAATGTCACACTAAATTTTTAAATAAAATAATCACTTTTTGAATTTTATTTACAATCCAATAACACTTTGTGTAATATAGAACGATATCACATAAAAGTATGAATTTGTTATGATGACGTAGCTTTCCCAATATGCGATTTACAAGAAAGCTAAAAGTGTTAAAAATTACATTACCTGGAATAAAAGGTTAATAATTATTTAAACATATTCTACTTATCTGATCTTAATTTCAGATAAACGACTGTTTATCACATTCGTTATAAATATTCCTTGTGTTCATTATTATGCTTCATGATTCAATAGTGGATTTTTGTACATTTATATTAGCTGCACCTAAGCATAAGACTCACTTAGAAACTCTGCTAAAGCTCAATCCAGGTATTAGTTCTGCATTAATTACTAACATCATTAATTAATGAAATAGAATTCTGGTTAATTCCTACTCCTAGACCCTCCCCAAATTTGTTCACATGAGAACAAGTAAGTTGAAACATTTTTTATAACATTCTCATTTAGTTATTTGTGTTGTCTTTAATTTTACCATGTTGCTACGATAAATTTTTCTGAATATTCAGAATTCATTTGTGGTTAAAGATACACGACAGTCATCCGTGAACAAATTGTGAATCGTTGTAAATGGTAATTAATTATGAAATAATTATTCATGAAAAATAGAAATGTGTTTATTTATCCTGTCTGAAGATATAGCATTTCTATAACTTTAACATGTAATTTTGAAGGGTGTACTGCTACACTTTTAAAACAATTTAACTGAACAAAAATTGCTAAGCTCCAATCGCAAAGGGGAAGATTTCAGTCTCTAAAATTCTTTATCATATCCAAAAAATACCGTATAATTTGGAATGATGTATCGCCAAATTTAAAAAAATTTTGCTAAACAAAAATTGTTGATCTCCTATTAGAATCCTTAACAATCTTGAAAATTAAAAAAGGATGTTAGACACTAAAGTTCCTTCGTAAGATCAACTCAAAAGCAAACTCGTTATAGCTCATCATTTCCTTATATTATCTGATCATGTCCAAAAATATAATTCTGAAGGGTGTGATATGTTTAAACAAATTTAGCTAAACAAAAATTGCTAAGCTCCTATTACAAATCTCAACAAATATTAAAATTAAAAACAAGATTTGTGTTCCTAAAGTTCCATTGTAACATGAACTGAAAAGCAAACTTATTGTAGCTCATCATTCCTGTATACTCTCTGATCATACCCCTGAGCCCGAGAATTAATTGCCCATCGAGGGGACACGTCGCGTCGCCATGAAAACGCGATCCGGCCTCGTGCGCCTCGCGACTAACATGTTTATTTCATTACGACGACGCTCGATTAACGATGGATCGGATTCCGTCACTATCAGAAATGCCTCCTCCTCGTTTCACAGCAATTACCGTTTCGATAATTAGTGCAAATCGATGCGCCTAGACGCTTTGTCACGCGGGTCCCGCGAACATCCTCGCGTAGAACCAGGGGCGGCGTTCTTGATTTCTATTCAAATGAACCATCTGAATCTGAGTTGCTCGCGTTCCTCCGGTTCTCTTTCTCCCGCCGTTCCGGCAACCCTCCCTCCTCCCTTCCACCCCCGTCCAGCAATCACTGTTTACCCAGTGTACACGCCTGTTTGCGTCTTTGTGTACCAACCTGGCACCGTTGTCGCCTAGAGAGTTCGATAAAGTCGCGTTAATTGGAGCTTTCGGGTCCCATTGTCGGCCAAGTGTCTCGAATGAGATTTAAGCCTTCTCTCTCTCACGTTAAGCTGAGGACGATAGACTCGAGAGCAGCGCCGGTCGCGAAATTTGTTTAAACTCGAGCAGCCAGCAGACACTGCTCAACTGGAGGAATACCGAATCTTCGAGCGAGGGCTACAAGTATTTGCCACAGCACGTATTTTCAATTACATTAATTAATCACGTGACAAACTTTATGGGGAAAATTAGGTTAAAGAATTGAATAGAACACTTCAGAAATACGTAGCAATTCCCTACGAATTGAATGAAATTTTGAAATTTGATAAGTACCGAATCTTTGAGCGGGTGCTATAAGTATTTGCCACGGCACGTATTTTCTTTCGCCAATTAATCACATGACAGTCATTCTGGGAAAAAATAGGCCAAGGAATTGAGTAGAAGGATTCAGAAATATAAAACAATTCCCTAAGAATTAAATGAGATTTTCAAACTCGAGGAATACCTTTCCTCCAATTCACAGAATGATTTTAAATTTTTCACTGGTAGCGTAATTACAAAGAATTCTTTATATATATATTATATTATAGTTTAAATTCTTCTTATATACATATTTCTATAAACTAAACAGATTCTGCTTGTTTTATTAATTCCAGTCCATTTCTTTTAACTCCCGTTTACTCGAGTACGAACGGAATAAACCTGAATTTCTTACGAAAGCTCAGCATCTCTGCTCGAAACATAAATCTCTGTCTAATTTGCTGATCAATTATACTCTGAACCATTTTATCCGTGAACTTCTTACCTACAAGATGCAGACCGTCCCGGTTTTTGCGATAGATACTCGTTAAGAACACGGGGCACAATTTGTAGCTGCTCGACGTAATGTATTTTTAATACATTAGAGGATCATTAAAAAAATTGTACTCAGGGTGGGGTGCAAGTAATGCATCATCACTGAGCTAACGATGTATGGAGAAATTGATTTAATCTCTTCGGATGTGTACTGCACGAAATGGATATTAAATGATCTGTCACGAGCGGTGCTGAACACATTAATAATATTTAGTCAATAAAATACCTTCCCTTTTTTGTTAATAATAATTTGTTCCTCATTACCTAAGCAACAAAATTCAAATCCAGAGTACTCTGATACTGAAGGTATCCTATAGAGAAAATCCAGAGTCTACAAACTAAGGTGATAAAGAAGAGAATAAGATCCAGAAGTTCAGCAATAAAATTCAACTTACAAATATCCTAACATCGAACAGTTCCTATAGAGAAAAGCCAGTGCATACGCAGCTGCATAGTAGCAAGAAACGGATTGATCAGTGTTCGACCAAATGAAGTTCATCTAAAAAAGGCTCTAACACCTAATTAAGGATAGAATTCGTTCGAACGAAGTACACAGAAGTTAATTCTCCATTCGTCACCAGGCCCCTTATCGTTCCATTGCTCGACGACCGTTTTTGCAGCCGATCGTGAACCGAGACGGGCAAGATCGTGGGCAGAGTTCTCGACCATCATGATCGTAACAGCTCCACCAGGCGAATATAAAAGGGGCGTATCGGTGCGTAACTGTACAGCAGTGTGTCAAGAGCGTGTGTCCGGTCGCCGGTGATCTCTCTCGCGAAGGGAGTCGATCTCGCGTAACGGCGTTGCTGGGTTCGATCGTCAACCAAGCCGATCCCACTTCTTCGGCCTATAAAACAATGTCTCAGAAGGGTCAGGACGGCAGTGCCACATGCGAGAACGACATGTCCGCGTCGAAAAGCAGCTCGTTGTTGCGACTGAATCAGGAGGGTCGTTAGGGTGCGTTCCTGCTGACGCCCAGCCACGAGCTGAGCATCGAGAAGGCGGCCACTATTTGTGAGAAAATGAACTTCCGGTGAGTATTGCAAATATACAGGATGTTTAAAAAAAAATGAGCCTAAGACTTTAGGGGATATAGTGTTTACTGAGAAGAGTAAAAAATGCTTAACCCTCGGATGACGGACTGTGAAAGTCTAATGGCTAGGTCACTCGTGAATAGATACTATATACTGGGTGGATCACGAAACGTGATCAGTTTAGATTATTCTGCTGCTAGCTGTTCGATCGAAAATTTGTTTGGCTAGTATAACATGATTCAAGGATAGCTTTACGATGATTGTAACAAATTTTTTTGCCAACCCTTTTTTCCAGAGTTTTCAAAGTCATAATTTTTTGTACAAAATGCTACAATTTTTTTACGACCATCTTTTAACTGATAGGCTAAAGAGAGAGACTAGTTACTGAGACGAATTCGCGAAGCATTATAACGAACATCCTTTTTTTTTCTAAACCAAAGAAGTAAGTTTTAAAGTTTGAAAAATATAATTTACTTTAATTAAAACGATGTTCAGAATGGTGTCCATCAGCTGCAGTACACTCGCCGAAACGGTTAAGAAACGACTGCTTAGTTCTACTTATGACGTCTGAACTGATGGTTAAGCATGCAAAAAAGTGTTCGACCGAACAGCTAGCAGTAGGATAATCTAAGGTAATCACGTTTCGGGGTCTACCCTGTATATTACACAAAACGTTCATATTCATTTATAAGAATTTGCAAAATGTAATAGAACGTTTGTATTTTTATAAAAATTGATTTCTGTTCAGTCGTTAGATGTTTCCTCTTTCCTCAAAGTATCGTGACGTACTCAACGACTGATCCAGCGACGGTTAATCAGGATAGGTTCTAAAATCAACATTATCATTTGCATCCAAGAATACGAGTTTGTTCTCAGCAAATTTTTACTTAAAGGACTGTTATTCTACAATTTCTACAATAACTACGTTACATCCTTTCGAAATGTATCCTTAATTTACTAATACTGTGTACACGATATCAAAAAGTTAATAAGAATACAATAACTCACATATTCGTTGACAACTTCCGAAATAACAATTAGTCTCCTTAGTGTTACTGTTATTATCATTTGACAAAAGATGTTTCCTAATTTTGAAATAAAATTCGGATTTTGGTAAATAATTTGGTCAACTAGAAGTGACAGCGCTGCATAAACAAACTTGTGGGTCAATGTGAATACAGCACTTAGAATAAATCATGTAATTTACATGAAACAGCATTGATTACGTACTAATTTCTCCGTTCACATGTCATAGAACAGATACACGTGTAAAATTTGAATGTCAGAAATACAGAAGCTCCAACAGTGGACTGTTGCTTCTAATTTCAAACTCGCGAACTGTTTCGATGTAACAGCCGCGGCGCGTACGATAATTGAAACGAATTAGCCGGCCCGCACAGGACAATATTGAAACAAATGTGCTGATCAGAGCCGTTAATCATCGCACGCTAATTAGACGGAAGTTCAGTTTCAGGCAGCATTAAACCGTGCAACACGATAACTGCAATTCTCACTTCGATTCTAACAAAACTCTGCTTTTCCTCCAACGAGCCGGATTGTTGCATTGTCACGTCTCTAATACTAGAGTACGATATTTATAAACCAAGTATTATAGATTAGAGTATGATGAGTATAAACCAAGATTATTCCTGATACTTATTCTTTTAAACTGTTAAAGACATGACAGGTCTTATATCAAACAAATATCATCGGTATATAATTTCAAAATCAACGATTTGAAATCCCAGGTGACTGAAGAACTATGAGTGCTATATAATCTGGGCTAATAAAGATGGTATAAATATAAAATAATTCAGGTCATTGATGGAAAACAGTCACATACGCCGAAACGCTATTTCAAGAACATCGTATTTAAATTTTCCATTAGAGTATTACTTGTTGTAGTAACATGTCCTTCAAACGTTCTGTTTATATTTGCTGTTATATTTGATGTTACTGTTTGCTTTTTTTACGAGTTTTAAGAAAAAGTGTTTTTTTGTAAATTTAATTAAATGTAGGTACTTATTAAATTTACAACTGTTTTATACGTAGTTTTTAAAAAATGTAATTTTTCAAAGAAATCTTATTCTAGAAGTTGGAATGTATAATTTTTGTCAGTTGCAGCTCCAAACAATTATATGAAGCTGTATTCATAAATTTACATAAAAGCCACTTTTAAAAGACGAACTATGTATTACACATTAGAGAAGCAACATGTTCTTTGCATGTTATACAGGGTGAGTCAATAAGAAGTATTATCTCAAATAACTCGTTACGCATTGGTTTTATTTAAAAATTTGTTACTGAATTATGCAGCATTTTAACAGCATTTGGACATAATTTAATTTCTTTTTAGATCGCATTGTTTCTGAGATATCAAGGTGACCTTGAGTTTTTTCAAGGTCAATGCATCTTTTCTCTGAGTACAACGTTATTGTCGATGGAAGGACGAATTCACTGACCTATAGCATGATGGTACTAAAAAAGAAGATGTATTGACCTTGAAGAAACTCAAAAATCAGGCTGTATCCATCCTATGCGTCCCCTAAAAGACTACATAATTCATTAAAATGTTTTTCGATACAACCAATGGGTAACGAGTTATCTTAGGTAGCAGTTCTTATTGACATACCTGAGTCGATTTAGACAATTTATGGACATAAGCCTATGTACCCTTTTCCCATCGATAGCCTCAATTATAAAAAAACATAGTCAAGTACACATAACGAGTTAACGTCCAACTCGTATCTTCCTTTCTGAATAAAATTACCCCGAGAAAATCGATGCGATAATTGCTCGTGACAAGTTTACAGAGCCCCACCTAGCGAGGTAGATGAAAAATCACGGAAAAGGAGGGAAAAGCGAATCATAGAGATAAAACCCCGCCGTTTTCGCTTTGCATTACAGTGGCGCGTTCTCCTTGACGAAGACTGCCACCGGTATACTCTTCAAGTTCAGCAACATCGACGATTTTCAGGCGGTCTACAAAAAGGGCTTCCACAAAGTCACCGGGGCACGCTTCTACAAGAAGGTACTTATCTTTCGGGACACACAAAGGACCGTTCCCCTCTTCAAACGGCCCTAAATACGACGTTTCGTATTCATGAACGCAGGTCGCCATACCATGCAGACCTGCAAAGACATTCACCGTCTACGTTTTGGACGTACCTGAAGAATTGCCCGAAGAGGATATTAGGCACGCCCTCTACAAGTACCGGTCCATAGTCGAAGTTACGCGGCTCCCCCTCAACACTGGCACTGTTTGTGAGTATTCCGACGGTGGAATCGCGATAGGCTTTACACGCTTTTCAGAAAGGTTTTCTGCCTCTCACCTGTGCTGATCACACGCAGATGGTTATCTACAAAGGCTACATGTCCCGACACAAGGGGTATACATTCGCTGCTACTGTTGACGAAAAGTATTTCACTGTACAAACTGAACGAAAATTTTGCGTAAATAGCTTGGGTGACAAATATAATACGTGTTTTCACAAATTGTAGTTATAATACTAATATTACAATTTTGATACTTTTTGACGAGATCAATATTCGTTTTTGTGGTAGACTAGGATCCATATCGTTTAATTTGTGTTTATAATAATGTTCCAAGATCCTATACCATTTTTATTCGGGGAAATAATGTCGGGAAGATGCTTGTAATTTAAAGTGTATAGCCAAGTTATTAACAAACACGATGGATTGATTGCTGGTACACCTAATATTACAGTATTAATTTTCACTAATGAAACAGCGATTAGTAAAGGTGTTCAATTGCTTATAAACATCGACGAAATTATCCGGGAACCTTTATTACTGCCTTCTTTTTGCAGAAAGTTAGAATTTTTTTAACACTGTGTGGTACTGCTTAGAAGTTTTTATTTCTAATATTCCAGTGAATATTTCATTACTTCGTGTATAGTAAATAGACGTTAACACTTCTTATGTTGGTTCAGATTTTCTTAAAACACAATTTACTCTTTTAATACATTAGTAAAAAATTTCTACAGTGTCCGTGTTTCTAGCTTGTTCAATTGAATACTTTTCCTGGTGTAGTATTACCACCTTCAACCCACTAACCGCATGATTTTTCCATCATAAACGTATCTATGACCAAAATTTTTATATTTTCTTAAAACTGGTCGCCCATTTAGCCTTTTGACAGTTACCTGCGCTTGACAGTAATCAATTTTTGGATATTTCCAACGCCATTAGACGATTTATGGCCTCTTTAATTAATTCACGAATTTCATACAAGTAACTAGCGGAAGTCTAATCGCCAAATGTTATCGATTTCAAGATGTCAAAAGTCAAAGGGTTAATTCTTGCCTGTCCTACAAAAATTAAAGGAAGTATACAATTTTCATTTAAACGTTCATTTAAACGTATTATTATTAACGTCAATAATAACTCAAATATAGTCACCTCCGAGAGTAATTAAGGCTTCCCCTAAAATGTTCGAATGTACGAACAATGGTCAACGTCTTATTACTACACTCCGTGGCATAACTGTAAAACCACCTTAAAATTTTCAATTACTACGTATTGTGGCACATTTTCTTCCTTACAATTAGATTAGTATTGAATAGTAAACAGATCAATATTCGAGTTACACGAAGAATTCGAATATATTTGAGTAATTCGCAAAATGCTCGAGCTGAAAATTCATCAGTAAGTAAATCGAAATCTTACGAACGCTCCATTATTCGATCCATTTGAGTTTTTCAAGAACCTCGCATTTTTCTCAAATAACTCGGTTCGGCCGACCGATCATTATTTGACTCGAAAATCGAGTTACTGGAATAATTCGAACACTCGCACATCCCTAGCATGTTGAGCATTTATTTTAGGTTGATCATTAACTCACTTTCCGTGGTGACTGTAAATGACTTGATGGGACCCTAAATAATAGCGAAAAATAAATTTACACGATATCAATTTCAATCGTTTGAAAAACTCTTCGAACGAAGAAGGAATAAAAAAAAGAAGAAGAGACACGGCAAGATCGTGGATTCTCGTGATTAATTCCGCGAATTCCGACATAGTTGCTAACTCGATAGCCCCACGATCGAATGAATTCCCTGAGTTCCCCCATCTCGCTTGTTCTCCCTCATTTGCCTAACTGCGCCCCCGTGCGGTGACCGGTGCGGGTATCTGCTTTGTGAATTAGTGAAAGCGATCAACGACAAGCTGAAAAGCGACGCTCACAACCAGCACGAGACAGCGACGATTTACACGGGGCCACCCGTTATAAGGGTCACGCTGGCCAGCGTGGAGGAGACCTCGTTGCTGTTGAGCCGCGGTTTGGATTTTTATGGGGCCACATATTTCCCCACCGAAACGCCCCATCCAGCTGCTCAACCCCTCGCCAAATACAAAAACAACAGGTGGGAAATGAATGTGTTCACATATGCTTGCGAGACGATCTTTCTCTTCCTTTCTCTCTCTCTCTCTCTCTCTCTCTCTCTCTCTCTCTCTCTCTCTCTCTTTCTATCCTCTCTTGCCACATCTTTATCTCTGCGTGACCGATCGAACGCGAATCAAAATCAATTTCAATTTATCAGAGGCTTACGAACCTGATTGCGTACCCCTCCTCCGTTACAGGACACACACGTTTATAGACTTTCTTTTACATAAAAGCTTCGTTTTATTAATTATGGAAATGTGGTAGGCGAATGATTCTATTTGTGGGCTTGGAAGTTTCGTTCTTTTTACTGTTTTTACGAATTGAATGAGGATTCTGTGAAAGAGTATTAGATAGTTTTGTCTAAACGAAATGGTATTTGAAGATTTATTTGGTATGTGATAAGTATATTGAAATAGTTTCGTCTAAACATATGGTACTTGAAAAGGCTTGTTTAATGTGTAATAAGTGATAAATATATTGAAATATAATAGTTTTGTCTAAACCAGATATTTTTTCATGATTTATTTCATACGTGATAAGTATGCTGAGATATTTCTGTCTATCAAAATGGTGTTTCAATAAAATAGTATTTGAAGATTTATTTGGTATGTGATAAGTGTATTGAAATAGTTTCGTCTAAACCATGGTATTTCAAGATTTATTTAATGTGAAATTATATTGAAATATAATAGATTTGTCTAATAGAGATATTATTAGGTGATTTATTTAATACGTGAGAAGTATACTGAGATAGTTTTGTCTAAAAATGCAGTGCTTGAAAATGTATTCAGTGTGCAGTAAATGATATTTATCTTGAAATAGTTTTGTCCAATAAAATAATGTTACTAGATTTATTTAATGTGTCATGGATATGCCGCAATAATTTTGTCTGAATATAATAGTATTTGAAGATTTATTTAAAATGTTGTAAGTATATTTGTACGGAAAATACTTAATTGTATTGTGGATGTTGAAATTGTTAATAGAAAAAATAATTTAGAATAAGATGTGTAATATTTCGAAAGACTAATAATTTTTCTCTGTTTACTACAGAGTGGTAAAATCAGATGAATACTTCAAACAAAACTTCAGTTGATAAACAAATAAATTGGGAGTCATTTGTATAACTAAATAAAAATTGGTAACTGACTCTTCCACTTCTAAACTGTTTAATACTTGTAACAAAAATCTATCTGTACTTTTATGTGTACTTGTGTTGGGAAAATATTTAAAGACGTTTGGTATATAATTGATAATTGCTTAATGATATACACTGCACTGCTGTTATATACAATAAAAAACATTCTTTTCTACCTTTGCTTGGTTAATCCATTTTAAACAGTAAATCCACTTATAATAATTCTTATCACCGAACCATAACAACACCAAATGACAACTAAAGAAACTCTACTTGACCGAGCGTTCTTAAATACTCATCAAGAAACGTGCTAGAGCCATCTATGTATGCATAGATGACTAAGAGGAATTAATAGACATACTGAATCACCAAAGATTACAGTCTAATTGTAAGACACGTCGTTTGTTTTTAATGATGCAAAAAATGGTTAAGAAAAAAATATCCGCTTCAAAAGTAATAGTATCGTAATAAACAAGATCTATTTTAATTACTTCACAGCAACTTATCCAAAGCTCACATTAATACAAACGGATAAATGAATTGTTTTATCAAGTATTATACAATATTACAGTAATTATATAAGATATACCAGTTAAGACAATGCAAATGATCTTGAAATAATTGTTTTCATATCACTTGTCTCGTCAAAATTAATTCTATTCCTTTTTTAAACATTCTCTTATATCGTTAAAAGCAACGGAGATATTTTGTTTCTAATCTTTGGTGAGTCACCGTATGTATTCAAGGATATAAAAGTTTAAAGAGCAGTAAAATTTTATCTCGCAATTCTAAATACGAAGTCACACGCTATACGACTCATGTTAATTGCGATTTAAAAAAGAAAGGATAAAAACGAAACCATATCATTGCATTTCGTTCAAGAGAACTGTACCATATTAACGAAAATCTGAAAGAATTTGCTAGAAAAGCACATTTCTGTTAAAAATAAGGAAATTTAAAGCAGCAGAATAAAAGTTATTTACGACACAAGTTAACCTATTCTCACACTTTGTTCAGTTCAGATATCATGTTTCTTACCTTACAATGCAGCAAGGCGACCTCATGAATATAAATACAACTGTTATATAAACTTTAAAGGTGACTTTTGTTCGGTCTAGTGCCATTTTCATCCAGTAATTCATTGTTAACTTAGATACTGTATCGTCTTATAGAAAAAACCAAAAAAACTCGGCTAATCGAGTGGCGAACCAGAAATCGAATCTAAGTCTTTTTGAATGAAATTTTTATATAATCCAAAAAAGATGGCTGTCACGCGAGACCGCTTAAAATCATTTGTACCTTTGAATTTTTCATATCTTTAAGTGTATAATACATAGTTTGTTATAGTCTCATATAGATGACATGACTATCAATTTTAAAAGTTAATCGGTAAAGCACTGCTAGTACTACAATAAAAGCTTATGGAACAATAATTTCTTTAAAATATTTGAAGGGGGTTAACTAATCAAACGTAAGAAAAACAGGTTCCATCCTATAATAACTTTATAACGTAAATTATTATACGCAAAAGTGAACAAAGTTAGTATATAATATATTATATTTATTTCTCTTGAAATTTTTATAAAAATAATTAGTTATTCCTATCGTAATTTAAAAAAAATTGCTTATAAAGTGCAAAACGTGTAAAAGTCCAGTAAATGACTGTTATATTTCTGGAATATTTTTAATAAGAATTGTACTTATTAACGTTTGCTTAATATGTACGTTAAACTAAAAATATGGGATATTAAAAGTGCAACTACATTCCATTTATAAACATGTAATAACACTGTTCAAAAGCCATCTGGACTTCTAACATTCAATAGCTATTTCCTATAGATATTTGTGCCCTGAATACGAATCTGTAAACGGTTTTTCGCCAGCACTCTCAGTTTTCGAGAAATTTGATTTTGAAAAAAGAAATTCAAAATTTTCAACTTTGAACATTTCCTGTGTTGAAAGAGTTATAGTTATTCGGTTGATTGTTACGTCAAATTATTTTGAATTACATGTTATTGCATTATAAACATTTAAACATGTTTAAACGAAGATCAAAGGGAAAATGACATCCGAAATGCACCAATTATTGCAGACGTTTTTCAATTCACTTCAAAAAGTCAGGGTCTAGGAGAAAATCTGACAGCACCACGCGATACAGCAAACATTCTTCCTTCGGAAAGCGTCAACAAAAGTAGTACAGTAGACTCACATTAAAGTAGCGGTAGAAACGCCCTAGCCCACACGCATTATTCACACACTACGTGTCGTCATCTGTAACCAAAGTTCTGATTGAATTGGTGGATCGACCGAACTGCCACAAGATCCTGCGTGCCCATAAACGCTCACGTTGTGGTAGTCTTTCCAGAAAAAATCCGCCTCCGGGGCCCAGCACCGCTACTTTATCGCGAGTCTACTGTAAGTCACGTTTTGTTTTCAATACTGAAACGAAATACTTTGGCAAATCATACGTTTACCCTCCTCACAGAAAGCAATGAATATAAACTGTCGGACCAAGTGTGCTAATGCAGCGGTATTACCCAAAACACGTTTCATACGAATTGCTTTCCGTAGAACTGTCTCCATTCGAATCGTCTCTTGAATCGTCATGCGGGTCGTATCACTTCGATGCAACGAACCGTCACACTTAATGCCCACCGCGGTTTTCCATTTCATCAAAGACGACAATTTCCCCAGGCAACACGACGATCGTCACTCGATCACGACTCTGTTTATCGTCACAGCTGGCGGAAAGATTATTAGCCTGGTCGGCATATAGGCGAACGTATCGCATAGCGAAATGTTCCGTGTTTACGAATCATAAAGGCGGAGGCGGAGGCGGCGGCGCATGGTCCAGTCGATTGTAAAGCGCAAATTGGAAACTCCAAAAATACCGCAGGATCAAATTTGCGGTCGTTTCAATGAAAAGCAACAAAACAAGCGAGTGAACGGAGGAGGTGTGCACCAGTCGGGAACAGACACAACCGGCGAACTCGGTCGGCAGGAATTCGTTCGCGTCGAAATAATGCGAATTATATTCGGCGTGCGGACGAGATTTGATGGCGTGATTCATGACGCGACGGTCGTATTTCACGGGAATAATTTTCGCCATACGTCACGCGCCGCAAATTAATGTGACGTGATTGCGCTGTTGTTAACCGATTAACAAGAGATCATTACTTAATATCTCGTTGGAATGGTTCTTTTCGATCCTTTGCTCGTATGTGGCAATGGGTAATTCATTGCTTTGCATCAGAGTCGATGTTTGTTTCCAAGTATGATGTCTTTTGTTTATTTATTTATTTAATGTCTTCATTAGACTGTTCTAGTAATTTGTTATGAGAGAACAGGAACTTTAATAAACAGGCACTAAACAGTTATGGAGAATGAAGAGCTTCAATGAGTACTGTTTTATGACTGAACTGAACCTTCAGATCTGAATTTTTCTTTAAAAGTAAAAAAGATATTTGATGACACAGTTTAACTCAGTAGACTGTTTAGATATTTTATGTGAGAGAAATTTGGTTTTAATTCCTTAAAAAAAATTTGTTATTAAATTCTGAATTCACTAAACCTACTAAAAATATTCGGAACATAACAAAATTCAGATTTATAAGAAAAATGTGGGTCCACAACACACTGTACCTAAGGCTTTGTGTGAAATTGTAAGAAACTTCATGTTCACCAATGTGACCACCAGGTCTGAAAGGGTTAAAATAAATAGTAAAAGTGGTCGTTGGTCTGCAATATTCTACGCCCTTTGTCAAGTGCCAGAGCGAAATGTGTTGAATTAGATAAATAAGATAAATAATAATGATACAAACATAAGTAATATGAAACTAGATAATATACAGCTGAGTAATTTAAATATAAATGATATAACAATGAATAATACAGAAATAAATAATATAGATGTCAATAATGTAAATAAGACATCACTCAGTACTTATTGATAAAATATACCGTAGAAAAACCCTACACGTTTATCTCTTCACTTCGAAACTTATCAGTGACTAATTATTACTATCAGATTAATAGCAAATAGATGCCCAATTGAAACATCCCTATACTGTTGTATACCCGGTATTATTCCAATACAATACGAATTGAAAAATATCTTCAACTAGTTTCATATTTACATACATATTACACCCCACAAAATTAAAATAAGTTTTAGTGGTGACTATTTTCATTGAAATATTATATTACGTGTACCAATAAGTAATACACAATCTTTTTCAGTAAAAACTATAAAATAATTTGAATTCAGAAAATCTTGCAGTATCTTTTTAGTAAAAGTGATACAAAATTATCGAGGACGAGGATGCATATCACTTGGGTAGCACAGCTTATTGATTACCAGAAAAATGAATATCCAATGTGGTAAAATATAATGGATTATTTATTGGTGCACCTAATAATATTCCAAAAATATAAATTCAATTCAGCTGTCTGTACATTTCCTATCAATCTAATGACTAAACTTCTAAGCTTAGTACATTTGTAAAATGTATTGTTGCTCTGCGTTCACCTCAAAGAAATAAAACCAGAGGTGGGCAAATTCATTATGTAGGTAAGAAGTTTCGAATAACGAATAAAAGATAAAACATACTTCGTAATTTTTAATTGACTAAACGTGAAAATTCCATATTTGATAGTAAAATAATATTTCTTCTCGAATAAGCAGGCAATTATTTAATTTTGTTAACTATTTAAAGGTCAGGACAACCATATAAGGTATTACAGCTTTTTTACTATATATTATTTGACTAAAATTGTACTCAACTCTAAGTAAAACTTAGAATCGCAAAATAAAATTTCTATTCCACATCCGTTTCTGTAAACTAGTCTAAAAAAAGGCAACTACGGATAATTATATCAGCTGTCTATTAACACAATTTCCGTTTAATCCAAACATACAAAATATCGTGACCTCTCTCGACAAAAATGTACGATTATAATCTCCCGTTCTCACAGGAACCCGACACGATTAACAGAAACGCAGAGGGGAGAAAAAGGAAGTCGATTTTTCATCGACGTCCTCCATCATTTCAGGTGGTTCGAGCTGGCAGCCATCGGCGCCGGACAAAGAGTTCGAGACTTGCTTCCGGTCTTCGACAACGCTGGCTTCAACAAATTGTCACCTCCGGCCAGCCGGCTGATAAAACCGCAAAAAAATTGACGGGTCCACCCACCCCTTCTTCGAAATTCGACGGGTTCCAGGCTCTAACATCGAACTCCATTGAATTATTCGCGTGGATCGAGGAACGATTCATGAGGATCGAGGACAGTATTGCCAGATTGTTTAAAAAATTCTCGCAAAGACACAAATTGTTTGAAATCGCCCAAAGTCGCAATAGTACTATCAACAAAATCTTGAAGGTATTATAAAAGCGAGATTTTAAAATTAAAGTACTTTTTTCAGTATGATACATTCAAAAAATGGACATATACATATAATGAATTAATTATACATATAAAAATATATACAGGGTGTCCCATGCTGGGATTGTGCGAAGCCACAGCGTTAAAACGGTAGAAAATATAAAAACATTTGATTAGGAAAAATTAAATGGTTTCGGGGTGGTGTATTACGTGGTGCATATAGCTTCTCTCAAAATAGATGTGTTTCAAAGATTTCAAGGTCAATTCCATGTTTTTAAATGGAACTATAAACTTTTTTATATATCATTCGATGCACTTTTTAATTCTAGACAGCAAATTCAATGAAAAGTAAAACTAAACTCAACACTGTATCAGTATTTAGACCTACATAAGCTTGAAGACTTCTTCGTTTGCGTTTACTAATTCTAGTAATCTTACTCTTTTAAACTAATCACTCTTCGACACAAGTATTTTAGTACTTTTTTGTAGAGAATTGAAATATGCATCGAATTGTATACATATACAAAAATATATAGTTCTATTTAAAAAAGCAGAAGTGACCTTAAAATCTTTGAAACGCCTCCAATTTTGGAGAACACACATGCATCATATGATACAACACTCGAAACCATTTAACTTTTCGTAATGAAATTTTTTTCTATCTTCTACCGTTTTAACGATATGGCTTGGCCCAGTCCCAGCGTGGGACATCCTGCATGATATATACGGTGTCTCATGTAAATCGACCCATTCAAATATGTCCGAAACTATTGACGATATTAAAAAATGTTTCAGACCAAAGTTAAATGGCATCAAACAAGGTCAACTTTGTTTTTTTAAATGAAGTCAATCTTTTTTAATCCACTATTTGATGCTACTCGTCATTCCCTGCACACAGTACTAAGTCACTCATGGCGAATTAGTGCATTAAAAAATATACGATTCCATTTAAAGAAGCAAAATTGACCTTTATATGACCTCTACGCACTCCCATAGAAATAGTTACATCAGAAAGCATGCCCCCCAATACCATTTAACTTCTGTCTGAAACATTTTTAATATCGCCAACAGTTTCGGGGTTATTCGGATGGGTCGATTTAAATAGGACACTCTGTATATAAATTTGAAATTACCCAATATGCAACTTGAGATTTCTTCAAAAATATTCATCTCAATTCTCGTCCAAAAGACGCCCAAATTGCAATAAAACGCTTAATCTGGCGACACTGATCGAGAATACGTCAAGTCGAGTAATCCTACGTCGACGGTAACGAAACCGTTTTGAGGTAACAACGGTGTCTTAATTCGACGACCCCCACGCTGCTGTTAGGCTAACGCGGTAACAAGCCAGGTAGAACGATCACGGCTGGAAACTTTTTAATGGCCGGCATGTTCATTTTAGCGTAGTTTTGGGTACGGTAACCGGTAGTTGTGTTTCCGCTTTCAGGATTGATATTAAAGCTTTTTATGGGGTAGTTGGACCCGGGGATATTCGGAGAGAATGTGCTGATGCATATTTTTACGGGGGAGCTTTGCAGAAATGGGAATTAACACTAGAACTACCAGCGTTGAATGTGCACTAAAGTAAATGTTATAGTACGTAGTACAGTACAATATAATGCAGGGTATGTAAAATGTATAAGAATTAAAAATCAGTATACATTCTCATAGTACGCTACGAAGCATAACTTTAACAACCACTGACATTTTCAAGATTTTTCAAAAATATTATTAAAAGCATGCTGGATTGCATTTTTAAACTCATAAATGAAAAAAAAGATTCAATTCGTTATTAAACTCTTAATATTCCTATTATCCGGATGCTATACTTTTGTACGTGCTTATTAATGTAGTTAGCTTGAAATAAATGTTATTTTTGCACTTTTTTCGTTATATATAATTTTTTATTATGCTCTTTCAAGTAAAATTATTGATACTTAGGAAACGTTATTAAAAACGCTAGAACTCGTGAAAATTATAGTAGTGCTAAAGTTTGCTCCGCAGTGTAGAATCTTTATAAATTTAGTAATAATAAAACAAGAAAGTCGAATGCCTTCATTTTGATGTGTTTGGTGGTCCAGTGTTAAAAAGCTCATTTCTTTCCCCAGGGTTTTATTTGTGTCAACAGAGTGTACGTTGACAAGATTTCAGTTCATCTAAAATTTTATAACTTGGTCTACAAGGAGATATGTTCTACTTAAAATTGGATAATTATTCAGTAACAGAAAATAAAAGGTGGTTTGTGTCAGGTCACATAATTGAGGAATTGGATTTTTTGTGTGAAAAAAGAAATCGTAAATAGGCAATAACTTTCTTTCGAATGAGGAACCTCGGTTTCTACTCAATTGATGTTGAAAATTAATCACGTACATGTGTATCAGAGTACCATTTGTTATTTACAAGCATCGCCACGTCAATTGTCAAATTGCCATTGTCAAATTTGATGACATTATAATTAGAAGATTATGAGATCGAAGAAATGTAGATACTCAACGTATACCACCATAGGTGTTTGCTGTAAGTAGAAACAGTCAATAATGATCAGACAATGTAGTGTTTACATTTAAAAGCACGAGTATCCAACTAAATTTCAATCTTGATTCTTCTTTAAAATGGAGCCTTATATTAAAACAGTTTATTCTACATTTTTGGCTTATTTGTTTTTATAAAATCATTATTTATCGAGTCGTACCAACGGTTAAAAGACACTCTGTATATGTATAATGTGGGTACAACGAGTATTTGTAATCTCTGTTCTGTTATACATTGAGGCAAATTAAAAATTGTAGTGAACACAATTTAATTACTTGACAGAGCAATGAATGAAATTTATTATTTATGTTTTATTTCAAATATATATATTTCAATTTATTAATACATATAATGATGTTTTATCTAACAGTTAACAAATTATGACCCATAAATGGTATTAGATAGCTTAAATGGAAGAAAATTATAAATAATTCATAAAAACATAACTCCTTTCCATCGAGATCTTGTCGCCACTCTCATAAATATAAATTATTCTAGAAGCGTGTTTCGAATATGTTATAAGTATAATATGAAGTAAAGATGGACGGTCCGGTACCTTTTCTAAATGCAATATAAATATTAATGGAGATAATTCCACCTGGTCTGTCGTATTTTCTACAAAAATGTTCCTATTTTTCTCTCTTTTTTTAATAAAACAAAAATATTAATATTTAACTGCAATAATAACTCGCTGTTCCTATTTAAGCTTTGCGAACGAAATACCATAGTTGTAATATAATACGTTTATAAAACAAGAAAATGTACAAAAATATTTTTATAACTTAGAAAACACAAAACTGTTTCAGACCGATATTTTCTTCGCATTTTTACTGTTACAATTGCTTTAATTTATGTGAAATTGTGTTTAAATCGATTAATATTTTAACAACACTGATTGATTTTTTAAACATTTCATTAACACGAATAAGGTTATGTTAGTTAGATTATACGATATTAAAATATCCTTGTAGAAATATTAAAATATTAAAGGCAGAATGATTACCATTTTATAATTTGATTTCCTTGGCCATTCAATTCCCTTTCAATTCTTACAAATTTTAATCAAGCGAGTAAGACTGTGTGTGTACTTCATTTAAACTGCGAGCCTTCAATTGGACGTTATTGTTGTTCCACAAATGGCACCACATTTGTAAAAGAATGTATATAAAATTACCAAATTTCATTCATTTTATAATTCGTACAGATAAACGTAGAGTCACAGTTGAATTGCACATCGTTTACCACTATCAAAAGGATTACCCACTACACTACAAATAACAGGCTTTAAATAATGATAAGAAAGATTCAACCGAAACGTTTAAGAAAAACTCGCGTTCTACAATCGCATCAATACGAAACCTAGATTTTCAACTATTGCATATCAAACACAATTATAACAGCATTTGCCCTCCACACTATAAATAACATACAGTGTGTTAAGAAATAAAGGTACAGTCATAATTACAGTCATAACTCTTAAACCGAAATTTTCAGGGTATTAGGCACTTATGCTATCAAATTATTATGTTAAACATTATTTAAAGATATCGTGTTAAAACCAAATTTTACATTCTTTTTCTGAACGTAGCCAATTATTGACCCTTAATAAATGATATGTTCACTTGTTAAAAAAGTGGTTAAGTGATGTGTTAATGTGCAGAAACTTAATATATCATGAAAAATAAGAAGCTTATTAAATACTAATTTTCCTGATACACATTAAGTTTTTGGATATTAACACATCGCCTAACCACATTTTTAACAAGTAAGAACCTATCATTTAACCGGTCAATAATTGGCTACGTTCAGAAAAAAATTTCTAATTTTGTCTCGACATGATATCTTTAAATAATATTTAACATATAAATTTGTTAATAGGAGCGCCCAATACCCTGCAAAATTTCACATTAATTGATACATTCGTTCATGAATTACGACCATAACTATTATATAATTGAATCTACCATTTCTTAACAAACTGTACGCTGTAAATAACGATAGAAACGATCTACTCGACACATTTAACAAAAACTCGCATTCAGCAATGCCGTCTCAACGACGAGGCGGACGAAATCACTCAAATCACAATGCAGACAAAAAATAAAATAAAACATACGCACCAAGAGGAACAATAAAGTGGAAAACGAGCTAAAAGTTTAGAACCCATCGTGGAAGCGTAAAATGGGGGGGTTAGAATAGATGTCCGTGGAAATTAAGAAAGAGGAAAATCGCCGAACGAAACAGGTCCTCAAGAGTATGGATCAGGAAAGGTCGCGGAGAAGTCAAACGCAGGGTGTAGAAGAGAAAAAAAAAAGAGACGGGAACGGAGAAGAGTCGAGAATGGAAGGGGAACGATCACGGAAA